TTTGCTGATGATACTAAGATATGTACTAGGGTTGATGTTCCAGGAGGGATAAACAAGATGGCAAATGATTTAGGTAAACTAGAAAAATGGTCAGAGTTGTGGCAACTGACATTTAATGTGGATAAGTGCAAGATAATGCATCTTGGACGTAAAAACCCAAGGGCAGAGTACAGAATATTTGATAGAGTCCTAACCTCAACATATGAGGAAAGGGATTTAGGGGTGATTATTTCGGATGACTTAAAGGTAGGCAGACAATGTAATAGAGCAGCAGGAAATGCTAGCAGAATGCTTGGTTGTATAGGGAGAGGTATTAGCAGTAGAAAGAGGGAAGTGCTCATGCCATTGTACAGAACACTGGTGAGACCTCACTTGGGAGTATTGTACACAGTACTGGAGACCGTATCTTCAGAAGGATATTGATACCTTAGAGAGGGTTCAGAGAAGGGCTACTAAACTGGTTCATGGATTGCGGGATAAAACTTACCAGGAAAGGTTAAAGATCTTAACATGTATAGCTTGGAGGAAAGACGAGACAGGGGGGATATGATAGAAACATTTAAATATATAAAGGGAATCAACACAGTAAAGGAGGAGACTATATTTAAAAGAAGAAACTACCACAACAAGAGGACATATTCTTAAATTAGAGGGACAAAGGTTTAAAAATAATATCAGGAAGTATTACTTTACTGAGAGGGTAGTGGATGCATGGAATAGTCTTCCAGCTGAAGTGGTAGAGGTTAACACAGTGAAGGAGTTTAAGCTTGCGTGGGATAGACATAAGGCTATCCTAACTATAAGATAAGGCTAGGGACTAATGAAAGTATTTAGAAAATTGGGCAGACTAGATGGGCCGAATGGTTCTTATCTGCCGTCACATTCTATGTTTCTATGTTTCTATGTTTCTATGTATTTAAATGTTTCTATCATATCCCCCTAGTCTCGTCTTTCCTCCAAGCTATGTTGAGAGCCTTTAACTTTTCCTCCTAAGTTTTACCCTGCAAAACTTACATAGCACCAGTACTGCTGGTAGATGGCTAATGGACAGTCAATATGTCCAACTAAACATTCCCAAATATATGTCAGTAACAGTAGATTTTGTACTTCCTCTCCAAATATTGCTTGAACCTCCAATGACTAACAGGACACAGGTATATACAGACCCTCATCCTCTTCTGTGGCACTGCTGAGCCACGCTATAATGAGTGATAGTGCAAATAATAGGTGCTGTGTACACCCTCATCAGTGTGTACCCAACCCCACACAATGCTGACCATGCACTCCTCTTTAGTTCACTACTGCATTGCATTGCTTAATGCATGTAAAGTTCATATGTCAATAAGTGTCAATAAGTTGATTAAAAAATAAAGTGAGTCTTTCACACAAATACTTACTCCTGGAATGAAACAGTATGGGAAAATGGGTGTTTATGGAACAGACTTTTGGAGTTTGAAGTGTTTAATGCAAGTACTAATCCTCCTGTGGCTGAGTAGAACCGAAAAAACTGTCACACAGTGTGACTCACTTAGTGCTGTTCCTACTCCTCCTTCAAGGCATTTTTTGTGTTAGTTAGTGGGCAGATGGGACGTTATCCACCTTCTGTCCAGCCTCACACATACCTTGTAGGGTTATTTTGCACTTTTGTTATAATACACAATTTTGTATATTGATTGGTTGTTAATTGACTTTGTACTGATTGTTAATGAGATACCCTATATATTAGTGGTTTTTGCAATGTGGTGTAATCTTGATAAAGATCACTGAAGGGATCGAAATGTTTCTGTATCTGTCCTGTTTTTCCAATAAATCTGCTGATGTATGAAGACCTTGAGTGCCTGGACTACTTTGCTGTTACTATATGGATTAGTGTTTTTCCAGCCCTAGGTACAGTGCACCAAGGTCTACAGGTGATGAGAGTGCGTATCCCTCCCTTTTTTTTGCTATCAGTCTCACACATAGACATTGAAGGAGTTGGGACAGCACTGAGTTTTACATCCTCCACAACTGTCCATATAGCTCTGCTATCACGCATAGGATTCTGACTGAACTACAGAAGGCACTCGCCAGGCACCTGGTACTTAACTTAACTTGTCTAGATGAAAACGGCTGGCTTCGAAGAAGCTACAAAATGATCAAAGTATAGTGATAAAACCGGCATACAAGGGAGGGGCAATGATCCAGGACACAGCTGACTATGTAAAATAGATTTTACAACAATTAAATGATGGTGCCACTTACAGGCGAATACAATATGATCCTACATTGATGCTATATAACAAGATTGAATTGTTACTTTCTACTGCTCTAGAGAAACATACTGTATTATTGATACTGATTTACATACATTTTTGTTGGATAAAAATCCAGCA